TTCTTAATATATATATATATATATATATATATATATATATATATATATATATATATATATATATATATATATATATAAATAAAAAAATCATAGGGGAAGAAACAAAGCAAAGCCAGTATGAGTTCTGGATTTTATCATGCAGGCAAGCAAGTAACACAGTTTGAAAGGAATCATGCTCAGGAAAGGGAGATTTTTATTAGGAAATAAAACTAGTTAAAGGATTGTGTGGAAAACATACTAAGACAGAGAATATCACTTTTAAAATGTGGGGATATGGTAATTTGAAACAAATAGGGTTTTTAAGGAGATAAAATAAGAAGTAGGAAGTTATTGGATTAAGTCTAAGGTTGTTATGAAGCAAGTTATGGTGGTGAAGAAGAAGGGAGAACAATAAAGCATTCCAAATTCCATAGTTTTCACATAAAAGGAAAAGAAAAGTAAGTTGCCAGGATTAAGGATAATGTTAAAAGTAGCTCTATGTGTACAAAATGAGGGATATTAGTATCTACAACACATAGCAACAAGGTACTGCATTAACAAAGTAATCAGCATTTAAGCAAAGCACGACAGCAAGAAAATGATTAAGAATCAGTGTTCCTGCTTCATTTATTCTGTAAGTTACATTTGTATATTGCAAGTGTTGAAAAAGGAGAAGCAACAAATCAAGGCCTTTTGTTCTACAAAACACTACATCCTTTATTATGCCAGCTTTTTAGAAAATAAGCTAAATTGTACCTCTCAGTGATAAAATACAATAAATCAATGTGGTTCTGACTGAGAGAAATTGACACCTAAGTCCTCTCATTAAGAATGGGAGTTATGTGGGGTCTTTTTAGTTATTTATATAGGGAAAACCCTAACTGGATCAAGACTATAAGCTCCAGACAAACATGTCTTTAATTTCAACCTTCCTACTGGATTGAATAAATAAATGTCTATAGACATAAAAGAGGCTTACTCTGATGGCCTCATGAGTGAATGGGAGGGGCACAGGGAGAAGAAGGAGCCAAACATGCCTTTAAACAGCCAATTCACAAAAAGTTACACAAGCATGTAACAGGCAATGCAGACTCTGTAATTCCAAACAGAGTAATTTGGGGTTGTGGCGGGGTGAGGGGAATGTTTTGCTTGTTTTTAAAATAAAACTAAAACACAAGAGAAGTTTTAGTCTTCATGCTTGAAGGAGTGTTTGAAGGAGCAATTAATTGCAGGAAGTCATTCCTGGATCAGCAGGCATCGACAACATAAAAGAAAAGGAAAGAAAACTGGAAGAAGGGAGGAAAAAGCAGGAACACTGACCAAATTCGCAAGGCCTTTAGCATTCAGGAGTATTACCTTTGTTGGTCATGCATCCAGACTTTCATCTTCTTTGACCATGCACAACAATCAGATACCATCACACATTAAAAGCCATGACCAGGGCATTCTCTGCTTTAACGTAACACTAACTTAAAAATAAAAATAAAAAGGCCACAATGCAACTACATTCATTTCATTTGTATTCTTTGTTATTGGTTTAATTAATAGTTTTGTAAGGTGGGTAAAAAAGTAAAAAACACACCAACCTTCTCGCAGCTCTGAGGGATGTAGGGGGTTTGATGCAGAACACAATGAAATGAGGAAAGGAGAAAAACAAGGGAAACACAGAGAGAGTAAAAAGGCCATATCAAGGCTTTCAATGGCTACTTGAATATCTTTTACTTGCTCTAGTCAAACCTTCCTACCTCAGTTCTGTTAGAAATTTTTCATAGCTATTACGGTGTTAGAAATTAGCATTATTTGAAAAAAAAAATCCCTTCAGATAACAATGGCACACATGCCTCATGCAGTTTAATATTTTCAAAAGGAAAAGGATTAGAGAGCTTTCTAAGAAGGCCATAATCATTTCTGAATCTCTTCTCCCCCCTCCCAAAAAAAATTAAACCATAAATACTTTTGAGGAAGTTGTATATTATAACCCCCTGACAATGTCATGAGGTTAAAAACTGTGTTTTAAAAACAAAAAAAATTATCCCTTTGCCTTTCTAACCTACCCTTCCATTTAGCACTCTCGCTTTGCAGAAAGATATTACAGACTCAGATAATATAAATTACGCCAAGAAGATACAAAAGGGAATGTTTCCATTGATCTTTTTTTTTAAAAAATAACCCTTACATGGATCACCATTTCATATCTGCTAAAATTATGTTAGTTTCCTCCCCTTTCTTCCTCTTTTCCTCAAAGAACAGGTTGTTCATTAATACATTGCTGTGGATTACATATTTCAGTTAATATTTCAAATTAAATATTGAATATATGGGAGAAGGGTTGACAGAAAAGGAAACCACCAGAGTCTTTTTCCCTAAGAATTTTCAAACTAAAAACTTTTCTTTTTAACAGAGGTCACATGGAAACATACCTCAATACTTTGTGTTTCAATTACAATTAAGTTAGTTTCATAGCAAGCAATACTGGGAATTTAAATACACCAAAATAAAGAAAAGAAGGAAAAACAATAGAAAAAAACCCCTCAAATTAATACAACATTCAAGTAACTAGTGCAATGCAGGAAAAAGGTAGAAGTCAAGCTGTAAAAAAATACAAATATACTTACAAACTTTAAATCACAGGGATGTATTAGAGTCAATTGTGCCTTTCTTCTTCCCCAAAGTTTTCCACTAAGCCTTTAGACCATTTCTCTTACTGCTAAGTTTTCCCATAATGCCTTCAATACTACAAGTTGCTAAAAGATAAACCTCAAGAGAATCTTAACACCCCTGAGCCCGAATGAAGAGTTGATGCCAGGGTTATGTCATTCCTACCTCTGACATAAAGATTGGCAGGGGCAGAATAGCGAGTACCCGCAGTGTTGGTTGCAACACACTCATATTTGCCTTGGTCAGATTCTTCACTCAATTCGATTTGGAGGGCACCTGTATGGATATAAAATATATTCCCAAAGAAATTGTCAAAAGGAAAGTTTTTCAAACTCCTAACAATACACCGCTTAACAGTAATGAAAAACCCTGTAAGCGAAGGTCCACTCAACGTCGGTTCATTTTCTCGCTAAGGTAACACAGACAAAAAAAAATGATGTGATGAAAAAAACAAGGAGATTATTTTTTTCACACCATCAATACTAAAACAGGAAAACAATCTGCATTTAGCAAACAATTCTCTAGCATAATACTTTTTCTCCTAGACTATTATAATGAAGATGGGTGAGACTGCTTCAAGGAAGTATGGCTTTAAAATAAAACAAAGGAGATTAGATTATCGGGTCATCATGTTTGCTTTTACTAAATTCTACTTTGTGTGTGTGCACGGTAAAAGTAATATAAAAGTGTGGAACTTGGCAAAAAAAGGGCAAGATGGATTTCAAGAAAATCTTCTTCTGAAGAAGCCCAAAAATGTGCAGCAAGTACAAAAAAGGCTGCTTGAAGTGAAAAAGGAAACAAATTAGTTATTTATAGTAATCAAAAGAAACAAAACTCCCTTAAAGACATGCAGATTTGTAAGAAAAAGAAACACATTCAGCCACAATTTACAATCTTTTAGTGCATTTGCTGAAAAACAAGAGGATTGAATTAGAAGGCACCAAAAAAAAAAAAGAAAAAAAGAAAAAAAGTTTAAAAAATAAACAAAGAAGAAGCAACCAACCACTGCTGAGGACCTCAGAGTGGCCCCCCAAGACACCCATCAAAATCCACGAATGGGATTAGCAGTGTGGTGTCACAAAACCCAAGAAAAATAGAAAACAAGAATTACAAAAGACATGGACAATGTATATAAAATGATTAAAACCCAGCAATATACCACATACCATTAAGAATACTCAATTATCAACATTTCAATTTTCAAAGCCTGAAGATCAGAAGGATCGAAAAATCCATTGAAGAGTCAATCCAAGAAAAAATACATATTGTATTAGGAAGAAGAATGTGTTTATATATAAATATATAATTGAATTTAAAAGAAAAAAAGTCTACTTGAACAAAAAGAAAAAAGAAACCCTTTTTAAAGACAAAGTTAAAAAGAAGATATTCCTTGTTGTCTTCTGCATGTCTGCAACTGTTCTCCAGACCATCTTGGCTTGGTCCAAAAAAAAAAAAAAAAAAAAGAACAGCTAAGGAAGAAAAAAAATGATCTTTTTTTTTTTGCTCCAGTTGGACCAAAAAAAAAAGAAGAAGGAAAGAAAAAAAAAGGTAGAAAAAGAAGAAAAAAGAAAAAGAGGGACAAATGATACGCTGTGACTGGGTTGTGGCCTTAAGACCTGGATATGCTTTCTTTGAAGCATATCACAAAATAACAAACCTTTTTTTCATAAAGAAAGAATAAACGGAAAAAACACATTTTTAAATGGAAGGTGAAAAATATGTCGGGGGGAAAAAAAAATCACAAGATGAAAGTCACTGACCATAACTAAATAGGACAAAAGGAAGAAATAAAGATGACGGATTCAGATGATGCATTTATTTTTTTAAATGACAATAATGAAAAGGATGGGAGGACAGAAAGAATAAGATCATTCTGTGAACGTTAGTTCAGCAATCTTACCTCTTATTGGTGTACCACCTGGGTAGATAATATGAATGCAAATAAGATTAGAAAGAAGAAGCATTAGTACGAGAAGAAGGAGGCTAGGGCTTTGGAAGAAGAATCAAATTAGAGTTACAGAATTAAATAAGGACTTAAAGGAATCTTGATTTATACTGTCAAAACAGGAATATATTTAGGCATAATAATTAGATTATAAAAAAATAGTATACCAAAATGGGAAGCCATCATCTTTGGAAGTGGGGTGAGGTGACGGGGCAGGGGAGTTCCTTCATTCATACAAAACTTACATTTGGGATTATTGAAGAATAAAATATATGTCTGAAAGCCTCCAAAAATCTTTATAATTCTACAGTTAATAATAACAGTTTAGGGAGTGAAACTGGGAAGAAAAAGAGGAAGAGATACTGGAGAAAGAGAGAGAAAAACAAACAGAAAGATGGGGAAAGAGGTTATACTAAAGACTATATAAAAATAAGCACTGAGTTTATTTGCATTTTTTTTAAGCTTATACTACTATAACTACGTGACTTTTGTGTTTTCTTCTTTCTCACTGTGAGTTTCTATACAACAACATTTCTGTGAAGGATTGTGTGTGCACTATTATCACATGTCTGGTGACTACCCTGTTAGTAAAATGCATGCCATGCATTTTAAGAGTAATAATAAGCATTGTAATACCATAATTATAGTATTCTGCATATGAAAATTAGTGGGGGTGAAGTGCGCTTCAGAACTAAGCACTTACCAATAGATTCTGGAGATTTAAATACGGAGAGAAGAGAGACAGCATAAAAATATTATTATATTCCTTATAATTTGGTACAAAATCTTTCAAGTTAATGCTTTATATATTAAAGAATCTATATCACATGTGAAAATCACTTCTAGTTTTACATTAAAAGAGGTTTACTCTACACAATTCTGCTGATAACAAGTATAGAAGTTGGCAACAAGACGGCTTAACATCATCACAGGAGACTCAGAGAGGTCAACGTTCTGGGAATCAACTGATTTTATAGCATTATTATTTCTGAAGTAAGCAGCTTGTTACATTTCCCATCCCTTATAATCATATATTTTATATGGGGAAAAGCATACAACTTATAAACATTAGTTATATTATTATGAAGCTGCATGAGGAAGAGGAGGGATTCCATCTGGTAGGGAAGCAGGGAAAGAAAAAGAGTTGCTAAAGCTGGACTCTACACGAAAAGCAGGCTTCTGTAGATCCAGATACTAAGGAAGTTCCAGAATCACTACTGTGGCTAGATACATCAGAAAACTTTTAGCCAATTCATAGTAACAATAATGATAATCATAACAATAATAATCTCTCCTTTCAAAAGATATCCCAAGGATCGTTATTATCGTTGTAGTGTCACTTAGATTTTTTTTTTAAAATGTCGGTTAAAAATAGTATATACAGGAAAAAAGTAATGTGTTTCATGTATCAGTGAATGGTAGGAAGATATGTCCCAACTAGCTAATCTTTGGTGAATTTCAAATGTTGAAAACAATTCACAAAACACAATTGTTATATAGTATTTTAAACATCAAAAATTACAAATTTGGGTTGGATGAGTACAATCATTGGTACTCCTTGCATATCCTGAAGCCCAATGCTGATGGTAATAATAACAATAATGAGAGATAAAGGTAGAAGAGAAAATGGATCTGTCAAATACTGCTGAAAAGCAGTAAAGAAAACAACAACAAAAATTGAAACTACAGTCACAGCAGTGAGCAATGTGGAATAAACAGAAGCTGCAAAACATTCTGGAAATAGACTATGGCTACAACAGAGATATGGACGACACGTTCAACAGCATAAAAAAAGATAAGGGAATAAATCACAACCCCAAAAATAAAACAAACACGCAAATAAGGAAAAAGAACAGAAACAACAAAAATAAAATCCAGGAAAGAATTATTTAAGGCATTACTGAAAACAGTAACAACACCTTACCTGATCGTAATTGCTTAATGCGCCCATTATTGTTGCTTGTATCTACAGGTAAAAAATCTTTGAACCACGTTATTTCTGGATCAGGATTGCCGCTGGCTGCACATAACATGGTGGCTGTTCGAGTGCGCTCAACCACCTTTAACTGTGGTCCCATATCAATGGTGGGAAAACCACGTGGAATTTGATCCTCTGGAAAGAAAGCAGAATGGGGTTTATATAATTTTTATTATGAACTTCAACTCTTTTACAGATGCATTTCAGATTCTGTGTATCTCATGCTTATTTTTAATCAAATTTACAGTTTTTTCTTTATAAGATGGTAGGGGTACACTAAACCATGAACCAAAATAATTTCAGCTCTAATTCTATTCTTCTTAATCTGAAAAGATCCTGATTTGTTTGCAGAATTTCTAAGAGAAGGCAGTTAAAAGTTTTCAGAATCGGTATTCCTACAAGGATATGTTGTTGATTTAAAGATATAAATTATAACTTCCACTGATAACAGTGAAAACAGTGGGGAAATGAAAGCTCTGTACCCAACCCAAAATCTATGTAAATTTTTGCAGCATGGTCCAAATAATTTGGTTTCTCATAAGCAGTTAAAGATACAAAGCTATGTGACATTTTGAGGAAGACAAGTTTCCTAAGTTTAGTGAAACTTATTTGTGATAAAATTTGTACGGGTAATTCTTAACTTATACCCACAACTGATACTTGATTCTCAATTATTGAGTGAGGTAATCATTAAGTGAGACATTCACGTCAACTTTGTTCAATGACCACAATCCTGGCATTTCTGGTTGTGGTCATTAAGTAATCTACTGGGTTGTGAAATGGACCAGACTGAAGGAACTGCCTGCAGAATGCAACTCCCTCTGTGTGTGGAAGTGAACTGTTCTGGCAGACTATGGGAACGGAACACAGATATTTGGGATCTGACCTCTGCTTCTGCTTCTGCACCCCACTGAATTCAGCTCCTCTGGAGATCCATTTCTATCCCAGCCATTGAGATTGAGCTCTCCTTGGAAGGCAGTCTCTGAGAGGACTTCTTCCTCTCAGGCAGCAGCAGCTTGAAACTTTCCCTGCTGCTTTCACCACTGACTTTCAGAAGAACTTAGCAGAGAAGATTGCAAATGGAGATCACATGATCATAGGCCACTTGGTAACCAGTTGTTAAGTGTAAACAGGTTGCCAAGCAGCCATATCATCATCATATGACTAGTGGGGAATAACAAGATGTTTCACAACATCCACAAATTCCATTGAAAAAGTTTCAATTCAATATAACTCCAAACAGACATTAAATGATCATTTGTTTCATAAGTTGAGGAGTAGCTGTATAAGATAATGCTGTCAATGGCTTATTTTATTTTAAAGAGCACTTTCCATTCTATCGATAGAAACCTTTGTTAGATCAAAGAATATTTTATCTATAGACTCAAGTAGGCAATACCTTTGGTTATTTTCATAAACTGCAGCTTCCAAATAAGCATTTAAAAGACTGTAGCTTCAATTTCATAAACTATAATCCTATTGTGTTTCCCCCAAAATAAGACCCCCCCCAAAAAAAAAGCTCTGGGGATGGGCGTAGCCTGCCGGCCCCTTGGTATAGCACAGAGCCTGTAAGTCCAAGCATGGAGGCAGAGGTGGAGGGAAGACAGGAGATCTAGACATGCTGCATGACTGCCTGGGTCGTGGAAGGCTTGTGCAGCACCACTGGCAGCAGACAGACGCAGAGACACTGGTGGAGAGGCAGGCGATCCCAACATCCCACATGGGCACCTACCCGGCTGGCCACGAGCAAGTCAAGAGACAGTGGGATGGAATGGGAGGTGTATTGGGATCACCTGCCTCCCCCACTGCCTCTGCCTGGCTCCACCGCACATTTTTCGCCCAGAGAGAGACAAAGCTTTGTCTGTTTGCAAATGGGATGCTCTGTTTCAAAGCGTCCATTTGCAAGTAGATAAAGCTTCAAGTCTCCCTCATTTCTCCATCAGGGCAAAAAGTATTTGGGCGCCTATGGGTCTCTTGAGAATGGAGTGTTTTGCCTAGCTGCATCGCTTGGCCTTCAGTGCTGCGCTTGTGCCGGAAGAAGTGAGCTGGCCGCCATGTAAGCGCCTGCTGCACATGACTGCTGGTTCGGCCACCACCAGGCAGTTATTGCGACGTGGAGCCATGGGGTCCTGAGGTAAGCCAGTGTGCAAATTAGACAGCTTTACCAATCCCACCTCACAGCAGTGGCACTCCAATAATTAAGACAGCCCCCCAAAATAAAATTAAGACACCCCCAAAAGAAAATAAGACTGGGTCTTATTTTCAGGGAAACATGGTATGAGTTTATCAGAATATCTGTTTTTACCATTTAAATTCCACAGCAAACTATAGCAAACATCAATTGTATCTCATAACATGTTTTTCAAATTATTTCTACTTTCAAAATCATATGTAATTTGAAGAGCTCTTGCAAGAGTATAACATTAATAATAAGGTAGTGCTTTGTCTGGTTTAACAAGCGCAACCAGAATAAGAAAAAATCAAAAATAGTATTCAGATGTGCATAAATGTTGCTATTATAATCTAGAAATTACATTCAGTAATTTCTCATTGATTATAAAGGCGTTATTTATTTTTCTTTCAAACACACTGATTTCCCCCCCAAAAAACTAAAAGAAAACAGGAGAAAAGATAAATAACTACTGTGAACTGTGCACTATTTTATTAAATATGACTAGTATTGACATGCTGCTTTTAAGGAATGAAAATAATTTATTGCAATCATCAACACATAATTTCTTTTGCTAGAAAATGGTATGAGCATTCCACATATTCCTAGAAAAGCTCTCACATGCATTTGAAAAAGTTAAAAGTGATATCCTGGGAAACTTGACCAATTTTTGCATTTCTTGATAGCTTCCTTCTCTCTTAGGGCTAGGGAATCCGTGACAACACGACGTGTGTATTTCTATAGCAGAATGGTATTTCCATCTTTTACAAGTGTGAGCTTACTTATCTTTACCAATATGCAAGCTGACATTCTTATGCCATTTTGTATTGGTTCTTGCCAAAGAAGCCTACATTTTATAACAATTTATAAGATGTGAAGTTTTCACCTTGGGAATTACTGATAAGATATGACTTATGCCATGCTGAAGTCGCACTCTAAAGGTATTTGCATGATCTTTCTGTTTCCCATTTCATTTACAAAGGATATACTTGTTCTCCCATTTTCTTATAAACATTCACACAACCAAGATAATATGTCTTGCATATGACTAGGGTAAAGAATGAAAAAGAAATCCCCTTTCTTATTTTTAACAGGGACAATTAAATTCAAACCATATGCAAAGATTCCTATGCATAAATTCCTATGCAAAGATTCTGTCTGAGTACACACACTCCTCATTAAATTTCCACGAGGAACATTATAATCTAGCAGATTGAAATAGTCAAGAGTTGTTATACTTTGACAGTTGTGGCTTGTTTCCAATCTGGCTGTCAGGTATTTGGCAATAAAACTTAGAATTCAGCATAAAATAAGATGGAAAGAAATAATGAAATTTGTAACAGCACCGCTTATCTCACTTATCTCAGTGGGCATAAGTTTATATGACATTAATTGCTTTCTGTTCTACTTTAAATGTATTAATTATTTCTATAAAACTTTTCCAATTTGATGGCACAATGTTTAACAGCATATCAGACAACATGAACAATCACATCAATCAGCAATTATTGTGCAGCAACAACCTCTTTTTAAAAGATAAAAAGTATTAGTAACAATACAGTAACAGCTTTAAATTTCAGAATCAAATGACAAACATTTTTCCTTGTTCATTAGCATGCACATTAATATAATGTGCATCCATGTATTCATCAGGATTTTAAACACAATATTCTCCAGTTTTCATTTTAATATTCACTTGTACTCAATGAGCTAGCCCTTCATCAATATTTTAAATCAGGCATTACTTTCATACCTTTATCACACATTGTCAGGCAAACAGTCAGAGTATGTCCTTGTGCAGAGGAATTTTTTTTTAAATGTCCACTTTAAAATATGTTTATGATGGTAATTATAGGAGGTCTGACTGCATCACAGTTTCTTAGCGTTCATAAAGAATGATAGTATCAATTATGTTTTGTTGCTATTTTTTTAAATATTCTGTTCTGGCACTTATTCCACATGATTTTATTATTGTCAGAGTTTTTAGGGAGTTTTTTACACCAATTATACTCAAAATAGCAAGACAGCTTTATTATATTTTTATTGAAAAAAGTCTGCAATACCATGTTGCCTAATTTCAGGCAGAATTATTCTCTTCATTATCAAAAGACCACTAAAAATATGTGATATAAAGCATGTTTTTTACATTTTTACAAATTAATCTAACTAATGGTTCTTAAATTGTCACTGTGTATGTGTATATAGGTGTATATGTGTATGTGTTTGCACAAACCAACACAATAATAATTTTACAATCCAATTGTAAAGTGTCACTAGTAATTTTACAACCTAATACGTAAAATATTATTAGAAATATGACCTATAATTCAAATAACAAGGAAAACGTGTCCAGCAAGAAATCAATTATTTTTCCGTTAACTGTAGTTTCTGACCACAGAAAATGTCAAGTGAAGCAACCAAGTTCTACCTGTGAAATTTGCTGTCTCTCAGAGTAAGATGTGAAAGTATTTTTGATGTGGGAGTGTGCTACTGAATTTTAGTGATTAACATAGATGTTGTTTGAAATAAAAGAGGGGTAATTTGACTAATTTAAAAATGTGCTAAAATACGTGTTTATTTATTAATCAAAATACTCAGATATTCTATCAACTAAATCTAGATCTTTCGGGGTATTGATGGAAGATTCAATGAAACACAGAAGGGTATGAGAAGGAAGGAGGTTGCTTGAGAAGCTGAAGACATGCAACCACTACACTAAATGTCTATATTGCACACACTTTGCTAATGGCCGCTAAAGCATGGATATAGATTATGAAAAAGTGCATTTTGCTAGCTGGTGCTGTAAACATTCCAGATCTGCCTTGCTAGGAAATAAGCAACATGAGGCTCAGGGGGTCAGAGAATGAATGGCATGCAGGCAATAGTGTTGGTGATCTTATCAGAAGATTAGCAAAAAAAAGTTTTGGAGAGTAGTGTGTACCATTTTCACTTACATGGATACTAC